ATCTTCCGGCAGGGCTTCGACAAGCCATTGGATCAAGTCATCTGGTGACTTTTCGCCGCTCGGCATATCCAGATCCCGCAACCTCTCTTCGATGATTGGCTTCAGCATCGTGCTAGCCTTATCGATGTCTTTGCGGATTTGTCTCAGTTCTGACACCCCATACTGCGCAACAGGCCGGGCCCATTCTGGAAACAGCTGCATCTTCACAACGGCAACAAAGACGTGAATGGCGAAGTTAATACTAATGTCCATCCACTGCTCCTGTCGGTTGATGTCAGGGCCAACAAAGGCTCGGCCACTGATCCGCGCGATAGCTCGAAGCGCGAAAGGCTGAAATTTTACCGGTGTCCATTCTAGCATGGTCAGTCGTGAGCGGTCAAGATACCGGTCGGCGGCTTACCCTTGCAGTCGGGAAACTCTGTGGCCACAACATATTCGAGCTCTCCCTTGAGTTGAGGCACAAGCCGCGCAAGGTTCTGTGAAAGCTTGCACCTCACGATTGTCGACAGCATGTCGGCATGGTCGCCCAAGGTGAAGTTTGTATATTTGCTCAACATGGCCTGAATGGTCAGTTTGATAGGTGAGTTACAGGATACTGAAGGCATACCTCATCTACGGCCGCCGTTGCACTGAGGATATCTTCAGGAAGGCCCCTGAGCTCCCCGATCAGGCTTGCAGGTACCAGTACCTGAAGGCCCTCTGTGGCCTTGATTTGATACACGGTATCGCGAAACTGGAAATGTTATGAGTAACTCAACGATAACAAACCTTAGATTGCGTCAACGTACCTTGCTATAGCTATCTCGGATCAACGTCTCTGCGTCAAACATCCACTTTGTCTTGGCGGCCTTGTAGAAAGGCATGTTGGGGAGCTTCTTCTTCCTGGACTGAAATAGCCAAGCTACCACGAGTATCGTACTGATGGCGACGTAATAGCTAACGTGCCTGCCCCCGGGTACCACGCGAGGCAGGTTGAGTTCCATTGGCATGGACGACATGGTAGATGTCTGATTCATTTGGGGCGTATTTGACTTTTGAAGGCCCTGTGTCCACAACAAGGTATGCGTCGTCAGGGATCGGTCCTCAGAAGAAGTCGAGAAACGACACGACCTTGGTACAGACAATGTGGGATGCCGAAATCAAATCACCTCGTTATCGCGAAAGAAAAAAGATTGCCTTCCCGCAGCGCAAGGGGAAGTATGACGAATTAGGTATGTCTCCAAGACATTGGCCATTAGAATGAGCAAACTACCAGCCAGGCCGGGTGCAAGGTCGACGGCCTGATGATGGCATAAAGGTTGTTCGTGGTCGACAAGAGACTGAATCAAATAGACGAATGGCGGACTTGGACAAGAGTCGATTGCTGGGCCGCGCCCCGTTCGTTCCTCGGTCTCTTCAAGTCGTGGTCCTTTTGTGTAGTTGGCGTCGACTTTCAGTATACTCTCTGTCGCAAGTCTCAGGTTCGAAGAAGAAACTAGACGGAAGACAGACAAGATGACGGTTTGGGTCTCAAGCAGCGGAAACTATGAATAAAGCGAAAGAAGACAAATTCAGAAGAAAAGGAACCGATCAAATCGAAAATCGATACAGCATGCGGCGCGCGAGCGCACATACCAGAAACACAGACGACATGCAACACAGGGAAAGCAGGGTTTCCCACTCTCCCCTCCAGGCAACAGGGCCAAAACACAACGCAAGCAACCCCGACCTCGACGGCACTTCACCTTCTCGGGGACGGTAGGCTTGTCCTTGCGCCTGGGCTGGGCGCGAGTGAAATCCGAAGGGTTTGGGAGTTTGGACCAACTGGGACGTGATCGACTTCTGCTTCCTTGGGCGTCGAGGGTGGTTTCGCGGACTTGCCAGGCGCATCTGAAACATGGAGGTTAACAGGAGTCGTTCGGGAGCTGCCACCTCCGAATTTTAGCTCGCTGCTACCAGCCGTGCCTCAAAGGAGAGCCCAAGCATCTGCCTACTAGGTAATTAGTGACTGATGCGTGCGTTTGAATTACCACCTATCGCCTGGCGTCCTTGTGTCGACTGCATCGCTTGACCCGGCCGGTCTTGTGGTTGCTGTTGCCGATTGTTGATGTAGATGAGGTTGTATTGGTCATTGGTAATCTTCCCCTGGAGAAGGGGGCAGCTGCGTTCTGTACGTACCCGAAAAATGAAAATCGGGTCCATACAGGTATTCTCAATTTCTCTTTCTCCTGTTTCGCCTCGGAATATACATCCAAGAACCGTCCCCAGTTATCGTGATGTACCCTACCTACCTATCTGGCACGGATCAAGGGGTATCTTTCGGCTCGCTTAGCGGCCGAGACGCGCCAGAAATTGTTAGTGTTGCGCAACTCTTCCACATTCATCCCATCTCGGACCATCTTCTAACCTCAACCCACCCAGAACCCTTGCCTTCTCGAAGCGCCGCCTCGGCTTTCGCAGTAAGCTTCTTCTTTTACTTCTTTGATTTCCCAATTCTAGCGTCCAAATCTGGGATCTGCCCTGAGCTCGGTTTCTCCGTCCCACTGATGCAACATGTCTGGGAAATCCGATTTTTCGACATCGCCCAACCTAGGTAGTTGTATAGATGACCTGCGGCCGAACAAACTCCAGGAGTGTCTGCACGAGGAGTCACCCGTGCCGCCTGCCTCAAGCTACAGAATCTCCAACACTACGGGTACAGCCGCCTGCTTTGATGACCAACCGACGACAACTAGGCATCCCTTGACAACCACAAAGCCTTGTCCGGATCCTACTGCTGGATACCGCTCGGCGACGGCATGGTCATGGACGTCGCCATCTCCATCTGGGCTGTTTGTCCTACTCCATTCTATGCGACGGCCCAAACTTAGTTGTCTATTTGTCTGCGCAGCTAAAACCACCATATTTCGCTACCAGCACACACAAGGGTTGCTTCAACTTTGGAGGGGGAAACGCATGCCCTGCCAGCCAAGAATGATGTCCTAGAATAGGCGCATATGTAATTTTCCGCGAGGGCAGGATTAACCGACGTCCCGCAGTGCTTAGCGGTTTCTCGCCTGTCAGCGTCTCCGGCTGGTTTCCGTCCATCCAAGCAATCCTAGTAGCGGCCGTTCACGACATGCACGGAGCCTCAAGGTACGCGGCACATTACCACACAAATGACATGATTTCCACAACTGGGAAGGGGTATGCGATACGCAGCCGCGTTCAGCTGGCAGGGAACATGGCCACAAGCTCATAGTTGCTCACGGTTTGTCCACGATCATCCCTTGAAGCGGATAACACAACTCCAAGGCCGCCCCCAGTCGTCGTTGTTGTTGTTGCCCCCCTGACAAGGGCTCGTATTCTCACGTGCGTAGTAAAAACTTTGAAGGTGCAGGCATCGTTTTCGGTGGATGTCGAGAACCTCCAGTGGCTTACTAGTTGCGCCGGAGCATTGCGCAACCATGCCGCCTCTTTGCCAAGACGGCAGCCGGCTTTCACGTCTGCAGAGCTTGTAACGGTGCCGTTGTCGGCTCCGAGGAGGACTGCGTGTGCTTCACCTCCCATGCTGTAACCATCTCTTACATCTCTGCGAACCAGCAAGCCAACCTCGCCAATCCTGGTCGAAAAAATAACACGGCTTGGGCACTGGTGGTTTGTTCAACGGCGATACCGGATAGGCCGTGAATATACCCAGTTTTGCCGCGATATCTGCCCAGTTCTTGTTAACCTTTGCAAGGAGCTCCAATCCTCGCACTGAGCGGACGATTTGGGACGGGCTAATAGTCTCCTGTCGGCACATGTGTCAAGACACGGACGTGCTCTTCCACAAGGGGAAATTCAACCGACTGACTAGCTACCTGGCCCCCGTCTGAACCAGATCTCCAAGTATCGAGCAAGGTATCCAGATGAGCAGCACAGGTCAGCCCGATGATATTACCCAGTTTCCGATGACGCGACTGGGTGTTGACCGCCAGGCATTAGAATAGAACAATGACAATGAATGGTCAGATGAACGGAAACCAGAGTGATCATGTATACAGTATATATATATATATACATACTTCTGAGATATTTCCCGGCCCCACACGCAAACCACCCAGCCATAGGAAACGCCGGACCCTGCCTGTCTCAATTAACAACGCACTGAAGTTCTTCCCATTGTTCCCGGACGCAGGCAGCTTCAGTTGAATGACGTCTCGAGCAGAGGCCAGTTTCTGGTGTTCGCATAGCACCAAGTCAGACATCATCGATTGAGGGAGCATTCATTTGACCAACTGCTAAGGCGAAGGCCAAGCAGGTAGGTAGATCAGATCGGCAGCCCAAAAATAGTCGACGGAGTTCCATCCATCATCATCCATATATGAATTATTTTCTACTCGCTTGCCTCTCAAGTAGTGTTAGGTAGGTAGGGAACCACCGAACTGAACCTTCTTGGAACAAAACTTGAGAATGCGGCCAGTGTGGATTGAACACACGACCTTCAGATTGATTGAATGAAGTTTCCCGGATCAGATCCGCTTCAGTCTGACGCTCTCCCAACTGAGCTATGTCCGCCACGATCCTCGATGTACCTTGGTGGCTGTGAGGGATATATAGACCTATCGCCAGGGCCAGCAAGGGTTGATTGACTCTACCCCACATTCGTTTACATATTCGCCACGATGAATGTCTACTGCTACTTACTAGTTCTTGACAAAGGCTCTTCATACTTCGGCACTCAAGCCGGCCGGCCACCAGACCCCCTACTTACTACGTACTCCCTGCTCATGAGAATGAGTCAGTAGCATCCTGTAGTCAGAGCACACACACAACCTTTTCAGCACGATTTGTTCAAAACGCTCGGAACTTATCCGCACATCATTCCTCCCTACGATCTCGACAACCTGGTCATCTGTAGTTTCGATACGATAAGCTGAAGTTGCCAGGTCCACCTTTATTCTGTTAGCCTCTGGCTAGCTTCGCGATAACTTCTCACCACCAACAACCCTTGCTTGCCGTAATGGACATGTTTCTTAGAGTTGCTCCTCAACATGATTGGCCCGGTGGTATAGTTTGTTAACACATCAGTCTACCAAACCGAGGCTCTTTCGAATGGCCTCATCTCGTTCACTGAAGGTCTCCGGTTCAAGTCCGGGCCAGATAATATCAAGGGCTATTATTGGTTTTGCGGCATAATGCCCGCTTAGCATGGAAATGAAAACGTCGTTAGTTGGATCCTCTGGCCGGCCGTCCTTTTGGTCATCTCAGCGACTTAGAAATAGAGTTAGGACGGAATTTGCGTTTATTGCTAACATTGGGGGCGCACCTGAGCCTTGACTCGGGCGTGGCACACTGACTAGTGTTTTCTGGGAGAGAGAAGCTCGAGGCAACAGCTCCCGGCAGTTTGGTTACTTACTACGTACACATGAGACTAGATTCCGAGCTAATGGCTCCGACGATTTGCCTCGAAATGAGATATACTGAGGGATGTGTCTTCGATCATCAAATGGGCTCTCCAATCCTCGGAACAAGCAGGGCAAAGTCTTTTCTTCTAGACAAGGAATCGCCACACCTAACCCTTGACTATTAAAGTGTCTCTAATCTATTTGGATACACCGGGACCTTGTCTTTTCTTGTAGGGACTGAGTGGTGTGGAATTGATGCCAGAGCCGATTCTCGGAACAGGTGCCCAATATTGCAGGCCACAATCTCATAGCCCACGAGCCGCGGCAAATGAAGATCAGTGGTACGAGCGTGCGTTTCCTCGAGAGCAGACTCTCTGTCATTCTTCCATATTCCAATTGCTGTGCGCGTGCCTCTTAATGGCCTAAGTACGCGGGGGCGTGTCACAGGAGCGGCATCTGACTTTTGGTTTCCCAGGGTTCACACCCATCACGGTCTCGGATTCGCATAATACATCATTTGGTTCCGGCTTGTCTTTCTCAGCTCTTGGGAAAACAAGTTTCGTGAAGCAGATGGGATGAAATTTTGTTTCTTGGCCTTTGGGTTTGCTCTTCCTATGGTCACTTCAGTTCACAATGATTCCCTTGCAAAGTGGAGAGGTTGGCCAAATGCATCTGGTTCTCTTCGGTCTGCGATAACTCATGTTTAGAGTGTGGCCTCATCGCCCGCAAAGAAACCGTTTCTGCGACCGGTGGCATCGGGTCTCTCCTTGCTCAACCTCATAGACAATGAGAATGGGAACGCAATAGCCATTATGGGGCAAAAATACCTGTCGAAGACCTGCCTAGGGTCCTAAGCGATATGGATTGCAAGGACAATAACACGTAAAGAGGCTGGGTCGTGACCTACCTACCACCAGAAGCGCCTTGGGAGCTTATCTCAAACGTCAGAAGTACACACTATGAATGAATCGGATATCCGACGAGGACACCTTTGGCAAAGCTACTGGTAAGTTGTCTTGGCAATGCATCCGTTGACTCGTTTCTTGTACGCTGGACCTATGCACGAAATGTGACGCTGCATGTCGTCCGGGAAAAGGTCGATGACGAACCAGCTTGGGGAACATCCTACGACTCGTACGACGAATTTTAACAACTAGGACTTTTATTACTATTACTGGTTGGTTCTATTTCTTCGGCTTCCTGTTTCATGGCGGGTTGACTTTTTTCTTTACGGATTTGGTCTCGTCGACAACGCGTACAGTTCTTGGAATGTCCATATCTTTACGCACTCTCTAGGCGTTGCCAGCGGTCCAGTCCTCGAGAAGACGAAGCCGGCTGTCGAGTTCATGGTTTTGAGAAGGGGGAATGACGGAATGCCTCCTGTCTGCGGACGAGGCGCGGCCTAGGATGATCGCAGACTGGCGATGATTGAAAATTGATACTATCTGACATGAAAGAAGGAAAGATCTGGCTAGCCAGGTGGAATACTGATACCGTTGCTGCCGGCTCTGTTTCGGCGCTGGGAATCCACGCCATGCCATTCTACGCGCCTTAGGATGCACCAAGTAACTCTATTTCACGGCACTACCCATGGCGACGGCGATGAGGATGGAGAGCCGCCGACGTGGTAGAGTTCTATTGTAGAAATTCCGTCTGAAGTTCTAAGCGGCATCAACCTGCTTTCGTAGGGTCGACGACAGCGCCCAAAAAGTTGTTTCTAGGGACAATGATATCTCTATATGGCACTTCCAGCAGCTACAGTTTCTACTGGAACGGATGTTCGCTGCACCAATGAGCAATAACGCCGAGCTGCCAACAGTGAGCTAATTGGCACCTATCTGACGTTGGATAAGGGCCGGCTTGAATAGTGAGTGTTATGAATATCTTGCTTTGGAAAAAGACAGGCGGAGATCTTGACCAAGACACGTGCTGCTTGTTGCGGCTTGGGCTATTCCAGGACGCATTATGGATAGCAACTAGCCGGCACTCCCGGTGACAATTCAATGTACAAGTAGCAGGATATGATTATGCAGTGAAAGCAAAAGGCGACAGGAACACCGGCCGTTCCGTGCTATGCACGTCGAGCATTTGCAGACCGAACACTCTGATGAGGGGTGAGTATCTGACTGCAGAGAACTCAATCAGCCCTTAGTCGGTTTTCTAACGGCCATATACTCCTCTGACAGTCAGTTTGCTCATTACTTTGTTTCTATAATCTCCCAAGCTTCATGAACAAACATATCGAAATGAAAGGGAGGCTAGGGTACCTGGCAGAAAGCCACCTCCAACCGAATCGGTGGTGCGCTTCATATGCTGCTATTTTGCTGTCCTGGACACATGGTACCCAAGAGACAGCCGAGATGACATAGTAATGGTCTCCATACGCTCTATACGTAAAGCCAGGGCTGGACTACTCTAGAACCGGGGTTGTGGTTAATGGACCAGCAGCTGGGATGGAGCCCCGCCGGAAACGCAGGAACGCGCCTTCGGACTGGCACCATGCCCTTCATTGCGGGGAGGCCGAGTGGCTGGCGTACGTGCGCGCTGTGATGAGTGATCGACGAACCATGCCGATGTGAATTGGCCGAGTAATTGCAACTTTTACGTGCGAACATGCGAACATGCGAAGATGCTGGGTCGGACATGGGAAGCTGAGGAGGAAGAATGTTACCAGAGGTCGTACGATTCTAGGAGATATTCGCTGACGTGAACCTTTTGACATGCTCGGGCCCACGGCAGCAGGCGGACGCTCCAGATAAAGGCAAACTAATAATAATGCAGCAATATCGCTGAAATTTGGCTTCTGAGTCCAGAACGGCGTTGGCGAAGTTTGTCCTGATTCCCGTCAGTCAGCCATGACCAGAAAACTGAAAATATGGATTTGTTGGATAGTCTCAGGAGCCGACTAAAGCTCAAAGATCGCATACGCACGAGCTCGAAGCTCAAAGAAACGGCATGGGTCGAAGAAGAAGCGAACCAGGTAAGCCGCGCGAGTAGGACGCGACGGTGGCAGTAAGGAGGTACTTGAATCAGGGTGAAATAAAGCTGTCGGTCACCGAACGGACCTAGCGAGCAAGATCAATAGCCGAAAATGCGAGAGTGTCGATCGGCCAATGGGTTTGATTAAGGGAGAAGTTAGTCAAGATATCAGATCGAACATATGCCATGCAAAGGGGCGTTGGCAGTGGTAGAGCAGCACGACGCTAGCCAAGGAGCTAAAGCCGAAGCCTTCGGAAGCCTTCGGGACGCGAGCGGGCCTTGGTTGCGCAGCCCCATGATCTCGGTTTGTGTTGGGAAGACTTGCTAAATTAGTATCCGGATCAAAGGGTGAGGAGCCGGTCTCGGAAATTGTACAGAATCAGATTAGATGTGATTGATTTGATGAGATTGATAAGTGACGATAAGATTATGCCTGTACTTTGACTCAAGCCGCAAAAGGCCCAACACCCCCACCGGTTGAGTTGACCGGACTGCATGATTGGACGAAGGGCCACGGACGAGCACCAGATGAGCCAACGCATGTGACAGCCCGTCAGAGAATGCAAGGCGCGAGCAATCAATGGTTGGTCCGTCGGGCAACCGGGAATGATGCGTCCTTCCTTCTCGGTTGACATTCGGTTCGACACAGGTGCGCTCACGTGAGCGGTTTGTTGGGAGCCGAGCGTTGGCGCTGGAGATGGAGGCTGTGGATGGGGAAGAGAAGGCCGGAATTGCTCGGTTCGGCAACGGTTTCCATGGCTCGTAGTAGTGTGTGCCTCACTAGATGCAGGTCGCAGCGAATTATGCCCGATGCTGCCGCGGCCGACGGTATCTCATTCCGAGAAGAGCTGTTTTCGTCAGTTATGCACCGGTGCCTGCCTGGTTGGGGCTTAACAGTTGAAGCAGACGGCATGTGGCATCAGCCCACAGTGTGCAGGGCAGAAACCAACAGAAAAGAGCGGTAATGCAACGGCTGATTGTTCGGTGAGATGATCTGGCCCGACAAGTTTTCTTGGCCGGATTCTGCTCGTTTTCGGTGAGCGGTGGATTTGTGGTGACTTGTAGCTACTGGGTCTATCCACAGTGTCGTTTCCATCGAACAAGCGTGGTGTGAGAAGAGATTGCTTTATTAAACGGTTGGGATTCGTCCTCAGCCTGGCGAGGACGAAGAATGATGGAGCTGCTCAGATGGCGGATCATTGTCACCCATATCCGATAGCGGAGAGGGGGGAGGGGCCATCCATCTCATCGTGCACCGCACCCGCTGCACGACACATCACGACGGGAGAGCGCAACTGGGAGGGGAGGGAAGATGGTGAAATGGGCGTTGTCACAATGGCTAACAGAGCCAAGAGAGCGACTCCTATGATGGAGTGCGTCGAGAGACCACGATGCCCCGCCCCACACTCCTGTTCTCCTGACATGATGCGAGGGGTTCGGATTAATTACTACGTACATCGTATATTTATTTCCAAGGGGAAGCTGGGTGCCGGCTCGGGTCAGTACACCTCGGTTGAGGCAGAGCCGATGTTGAGTAAGAATAGCCGGGAAAGGAGGGAACGGGTGCGGGTAGCTTTGAATGGATCGGGCAGGGACTGGGGTAGAAGAGGGAGCGGATCGGGATGTGGAAGGAGAAAGAGACAGGAGATGCTCATCGCGGGAATGAACGCATGATTACTGGCACCAGTACCTGTGGCGGATGCAGCCATCTAGGTACAGGTACCTTTGTAGACAGCTAAATGGCAAGAAACTTACTCTCCTGGTCATCAAGATGGGCGAC